TCACGTTTGGTTGACCTTGCCGTTGGAAATCAGCAAGAAAGGCTTGCTGTTGTTGCATTGCCACTTTTGCCAGGCTTGAAGTGCATGCCCCATCGTTGCGGACTATTTCTCCATGATATCCTGGAAGACATTTGCTGCTGTTCTTGTTCGTCTCCATCATATAATCGTCGAGCGATTGCAAGTTGCGGTGACCAGTTACTTTCACGATCGAGGAACAGAGCAACAGGACATCTTTCATCACCTGTAGCATACATCTTGGGCAGGAAATCTGTCGACTTTTTCGACAAGCTTCCATTTCTTGTTTTGGTGGGACGTTCGATGTATTCAACGTGCTCGAGTCCGTCGTTGTCTTTGCCAATTGTGAAGTCTTCAACTTTCATGCCGTGATGCTCCTGTCGTCCACGAAGACCAAAATATTGTGTCAGCAACCACCACATAGTATTGATTAAACTCTCGGCTGTTTTATCGCCCAGATTTCCGTTGGTCCACAGGAGTTCTTCCTCCTCTTGCGTTAAACTTCGAGCTTTGTTTGGTCTCGATCTTGCCTTTCCCGTCTTCGCGCAGACGCTTTGCCTTTCCCTCGAGAACTTCTTTTGATTTGCAAAATTTCCGGACTCGTATTATGGACTTCTGATAACCACAGTCTTTCAAATAACGGTCCAAGGCTGCTATCATAACGCGGAGACTGTCTGGTTCGTATTCACCGCCATCCTTGTTCCTGACCTCACAGTAAAATTTCTCCAATATTTTGTCTAAGTCGAACGCATCGTAAGTTTCAGCGGCCTCAGAAAAACCTCGCTCCTTTGCCCAGGATTTAAAAACGCCAAGCCAAACGATTGTGCTTCTCTTGGTATTTGTATTTTTTGCATTATTTCGCAGTTCTTCAATTGAACTCACTTCCAAGTGCGGGAATCTTTCCCCACCACTAAATGCGGCCATGTTTGTTTTGAAAAAAAAAAGAACATTTTGCCGCCAAAAGTTAGATCAATTTTGATTGGTTCATAGTGATAACAGAAAATTGCACTGTGATTACAGAAAATTGCACCGTGATTGCAGAAAATTGCACCGTGATTACAGAAAATTGCACTGTGATTACAGATTTTTGCACTGCTGTTTGGGATTAACTGCACTGAAATCAACCAATCACAGTCGAGCAATACTTTTATGTATACTATTAGGGATTGTTATAGATGAATTTTTATCATGGTTCGATCATATAGATTTTTTCTAACTAATCTAGCTCTAATACGCATTGGTCTATCCATATCTTATATACGGTAATTTAGTTTGGGGCCACATTCGAAAATTAGTAAATAACCAGAACTATAGGGATCCAAGGATAGTGCAGAGTTTCAAAGACGAACGCTATAAGACATGCTTATTAATTGAATAGCTTTTCAAGCGTGGTATATAGCTTTAATCACATGTCGGTATGACGTAGTAGCGCGCGAACTGTTACAACAGTAAAAATGCTAAGATCTGGCTCAAATCTAATACTTTGCGATTAAAGAATGACGAGAGCTATGTAATATTATTTATTTCCCCATATAATATTAGTGACAAGGCATAATTTCTGTTATAGCCTAATGTTGTAGAGTTTCAAATTGAAACTATTGTCCCAGTGACAACTTTAATTGAAATAGCTGTATAAGACATGTTATGAATAATAAGCACTACGACGTTGTATTCCATTACAAAAAAAACAAAACATAAATCTAAAACACAGAAACGTAAATAAGAGGCGAAAAAAAAACTCATTAAAATGGACGCATTTTATCCATAACCGCTCCGCATTTTATCCCCATATCCGTTCCGTGGATCCGCTTCCGAATTTTAACCTAATTGTGACGTGTATAACAAGTCTCATTGAGACATTGACCTTCGACTTATTTCGAAGGTCACGTTGTTGCTTCATGAGTCATTTTCAGCTTTTCGCATGTATTCAATATTGTCACTTTGGATTTCAATAGTTTTACAGTTATAGCAGACAGTGTTTATAGCAGTTTTGACAAGCTTTGATACAGATAGATTCTCGTAAGATTTGGTAGAGTTCTCGTATTAAATTGCACTGAACACGAGTTTGCACCGTTGTGCTGGGCACGCAAACAAAGATTTTCTCAATATTTATGTCTTATAATATAATTTACAACACCGTCTCGTTGCTTCCTAGCTCTGTATAATGAATATATACCGTCAAACTAATATCGGCACTTAATAATTGAATGCCCGTAATGCGAAACATCAATTTATATGTTACGTAGAATCTCAAAGATTTTCTCAATATTCATGCCTGAAATGTTCATACATTTCGATTTCGTTGTATTGTTTTGCTTGACGTACCTTGTCTATTGTCTATTGACCTTGTTTACATAATATAAGTTTTATTTAAAGTGGCGCACCTGATTGGATAATAAAATTAGAAAGCCACTAAAGTGCTGAAGAGCAAAATATTATATCTATTTATACGACTACGTCACTGTACAGCATTGGTGACAAATGATCGCAGACTGTTCTCCTTCCACAGTTATTCTCCTTCCACAGGGGCAGTTATTTGTTTGTCATTGTAATTGTCAACGTATATAGGCGTTAAGTGTAATTGTAAACCGTAGTCGTCTGTAATCATTGTAATTTGTAACTACCCATCGAATGGAGATGTATATATACTCGTTGACGAAAGTTGGTTTCCAAGTTTGGACCGTAGTCAATTAAAAAAAAAATATTCAAATTTTATAATTTAATCGTGGCACCGTTCCTTTTAACAAGACTCGGTTATTTGGACTCGGTTATTTGTGAGCAATGAACAACGAACGTACCCTAATATCTGTTACATTAAAATTAAAAAAACCTAGGAAGGAAAAACTTACTGGCGTTAGAACAACAATGAAATTAATGAAAAATAAATCCTACCTCCTTGTTTGTTTTTAAATCCTTGTATATGTTTAATGACCGAAGGAGATCGGCAATGTCATCTCGCATTCGACATTGTTGTCCAAGCTGTTCAAACGGCATCTTGTTATTTATCAGTCGTTCAAACATAGAACAGTCAAGATACTTTTCTGTCGACAATTTGTAACAATTTACACGAGGTCGAAGCTGCTCCTGATCTCCTAACATAACCAAATGCTGTATAGTGGGTGGGAAGACTGAAGTCAACTGACCCTCGATTATTTCTGCAGCTTCTTCAACGATCACAGCACATGGTTTCAGTAGATCTAAAATTTTTAGCATAATTTTAAAATAAATCTTCAAACACTTACTAATAATTCATAAGCTTATTGGCAAATCATGTCAACCATAGTATTGCACATGTTATGTCACTTAAGTTTGTCCCTACACGAAATATATACTAACATTAAATAAATACAAGTATACGATAAAATATTCGCGACTGATCCTTATGGGCATTTAACTGAGTAAATACTAAATAAGGTATCATGATTTTTGAGCAAATTAATTTTGACAATACTCATGTTTTTGTGTTTCAGATCAATGAAGAGGAGGTGAAGAAGAGAATTGTACGTAGGTATAACCGAAGACGGAGCATTCGCAAAGGGAAATCAGCCGTTTACAACTACAATCGTGACGATCTTGGGAAAGGAGATCACAATCAGATGGGACATTCTTCATCTAGTAAACAGAGAACACAAAGATGATGACGCAGACATTGAGAGTATGCGATGACGCAGCAAATAGCACCAGAGATACGACAATTGATCGGTTACGTTTAGGTATGACCATTACAGTTATTAGACTACGAGAATTTTCCTTGAAACACAACATATTTATTAGACATTATCTTGTTTATCTGTTGAAGTATTGATGGTATAGTATTCTTTATACTGCATGACCGCTGATAAACTCTCTAGAGTGAAGCGGGATAAGGTACTGTAGCCTACTGTACACTGATTTACTACTTACCACGAATGGCAAGTTCAAGCGACCGAACGTTTGGTCCAGCACAAGGTTGGTTGTATATGAATTTGATATGCCGGAAAGTTTCTTGGAAAACAAGGTGTATTTTGATATGCCCTCTGGGTATTGCACTTGTTCTTGGATGAGGTACTTTTTCATGTTCACCCTAAAGCTGATACTCTCCGAGTCAAGCCGCAGTTTCAATAATGGGATAAGCATATAATAGATGATGCCACAGGCATTGTGATCTCCAGTACGAAACGCTTCAGTCACGAGCTTTTTGAGTACATCACCGGGCACGACGAGCTTTTCTCGAAAGAAGAGGCTCATGACACAGTAACTAAGTCAGAACCCTTTACAGTTGAAGAGGCAATGGCAGTGTCAGACAGATACAACAACTTGCTCTGGACAGCAATCGACAAGAGATTGGAATTTACACATACTGTATGTCTGAGACCCCATGTGCTTTTAGCGAAGCTCCAGCTCAGGGCATATTTAGCATTTACTCGAGAGTTAGTCAAGGTCGAGCATCTGCGACAACACAACACAGCACTTACATACATATATACATACATACATACATACATACATACAAAACTTTATTTAAACCACGATAGCCTCAACAGCCGTTGGAAGGCTGGCTTCCATGAGGGGCGTGAAACTTGATAGGCCTGTCAAGAATAGCAGCTCATGGTCCTCCAGTAAGTAATAGAAGCTGCTGTCAGTTTAACTGCTCATCCATTATAAACTTGAAGAGTAAATTCGGAGAGAGATTTTGTACGAGAAGTTGGGGGCGAGGTAAAACTTCCACGATGATCCGTAGTCTAAAAGCGATGAAATGGGACTGGTAACGTTAGACTTTAGCACTCTACTGTCTTAAAACTGGAATACACCTTCACCTTGTAAATTGATTATTGAACTCATAATCATATACTATTTTCATTTGCGGTTTGACTAATTTCCTGTTCTGTGGCCGAATTTTATTCATCAGACGACAATCTTAATTTATCCGCTTGATTTATGAAAATTTTCAAGTAATTGGGTTTGAGAAAATTGGCGGACACTCAATTTTGACAATATGAAAAATAACACAAAACAGTTTCTTCGGTGTCCGGTCTCCTGTCGCAATTTGCAAGCAATAAGAAAAGCGGGCAAGTAATTTGGACCACGCAGGGCTAACTGCAAATTTTTTGGCCACCTGGAAAAAAAACTAAATATACATGCATGATTTAACAAGTGCCCGCCTTTCACATTGTATGAGATCGATTTTATCTATTTTAAAGAGACAATCATCTGACAACAATTAAAAAATACTTTTATTTAAGGAATCCATCTGCACTATGTCTATATGAAGACCTTAGTTTTTAAATCCATGCAAATATCATTATGTAATTATCATCTATGACAACAAATACATGCATGTAACCCTCGACTATGTTTTCCAAACATTGATTTAACATGAAGTATGCATGAGTAATCGGTCAAAACTGAATGCTGGCTCTACGTTAAGTGTTGCCATGGTAACACGATAATTTAATTTGTTTTATCTTTTTGTACAAAATGGCAACAGAAGTTGAAAGCTTAGTATTTTTAACTGTATATACAACAATTAATTTCCGAAATATGTATATTGTAGTAGCAATGTGTTTTCCATTTTGTGAAGTTGGATTTAATCTAAAATTTATCCTGAATCGCTTCGTAAAATATTTGAAATGTTCACCCAACTATTAAAAGTTAAATTAAAACTGCTTTTGCTGATAAATTGTTTTTACCTAATACAACAAAATAGGTTTACATTGTTGAGTAATTTCAGTTCGGTCTTCAAATTATTTCGCTGTTCTTTACATTTTATAAATTAAAAAGTGAGGGGTAATTTAGGAAATTTACAGCTTCATTGAAAACGAAGCCCTCGTTTTTCATGCAGCTGAGAAAAGCGATTTCTAACTTCGTTTGGGCACCGCAATGATATCATGATGATCGTACTAATGTTCATGCATATAATTATATCCATATAGAAAGCACATACCCAACAAGTGTAATCGAGTTGCAGCTCCAGTAACGGTCATACCAATGACATCATACTTCCTCAATATATTAACATCGCGATCATCCAAGATATCCTGACGGCACTTTCCATTCTAGAACAGAGATTAATGCGAATTAACATGGCCAAACAAACTGGACCACACTGTGTTATAATGTACTGATTCACCGTATATGAGCTATCCTTAAATCTGAATGGTTGAGCTCCTCGCTAAATCAGCTCATACACGGCAAGTGACAAAAAAGGATGGCGGTACAAAAACTACAAGAGCTTTGCGAAGTAGAAATAAAAAATATATATTCGCTTCAAAAAAGATAAAAGTGCAAGTTACATCTTATCAAAATATATGTGAAACAACCTCACGAACACGCGCACGTCATTTTGACGCAAAATAAAATTATTATAACTGT